AGGGAGGGAGGGAGGAAGGAAGGAAGGAAGGAAGGAAGGAAGGAAGGAAGGAAGGAAGGAAGGATGGATTCAGACAAGCTTTTGCCATAGAAAGTAGTTTGGTGCTAGGTTGGATGGCTGTTGCATGCAATCACTTTACTACCTAGATATGAGACCACCAGAAGGTGCCAGGGTTGTAGACTACAGTGGGAAGTTGAAAAAACATCTAGGAAGAAGGCTGTAGTGAACCATTTCCCTCCTACTGCCAAGAAAACTGCATTAATGTGTCCATTAAGCCACCAGGAAACAAGCTCAGTTTTAATTATGTTTTTAATTGGGTTGTAATAAGTGTTTGTTTTCCTATTATTGTTAATTGCCTTAAGCAATATCCTCTGAGGAAAAAGTGGAGTATAAATTCAATAAGCAAATAAATGATTTTGACCTTTTCTCTCTAGCCCCTCATTTAACATTCTGTGTAATCTTGGAATGTAATAGGATGTCTTCTTGTCTCCCTCCATTATAATATAGGAGGAACTTCCATTCCTGACCAAGGAAATGCTAAATTCTTATTACCTGAAGGCTTTTGATGATGAAAAGGTACCAGGATTGTTCTCACTTGCTTTGTGCCTTACTTGTACTCTCCCCTGCCCACTTCATACATCTTCAGCATTTTGCAGCATTGATGTAACAATGGGAGCTGATGGAGAAGACAGGGGAAGTTACAGAAAAGAGGCAGGGGGAGGGGACAAGGGAAGGGAGGGTGATGGAGACCTCATGGGGAAAGAAACAGAGGTCACAGGGCCAAAGGATAACCTGCTAATATTTTCTGGATGTTGAAGGGTTAGAGTGGCTTCATTATCTCTGCTCACTATGTTCAAAGAGGTAAATTACTGTAGCTTTACATTTTGAGCAGTAAACAAGTTTCCAGGTACTGTCCAACCTGGCCCTCAGTTAAAGAAAAATATTGGAGGACTTCCAAACCATCACAGTTTCCATCCCCAACCCTTTAAATTCAACTTGGAGTTGACCTCTAATTGTTTTCAGTTCTGCAAACTCAAAACCCTGGGGGGAAGCGGATATTGGCTAGAAAGGAGTGGGGAGGTGGGAGAACAGGAGTGGTTCACAGGTGGGAGAACAGACCAGCCACAACCCTGCAGAGCTACAGTACTCCCAAGAGTAAAGACTAGCTTTGCTGTGATTTCAGATGCACCGCAGTTGAGCCAGTGGTAAATTGATTCGTCTCCCAGAAAGCTGACTGTGAGATCAGACAGGTCCAGACTGAGTTTGAAATAGCACAAAGATCCCATGTGAAAATGCCCAAGAAAGGGCTCTTTTAAAAACAAAAGCTGGAGCCAGTGGTTCACCCGGTGGAGGAAATCCTTTTATGCCTCTGAGAAATGTTGTGCTATCCAGTACTTGAACTAGGGTGTGAGGTATCACTAGGCAATCCATTTTCCTGTTTGTTTTGCTGTTTCCTAGATAAAAAAAGCTCTCCAATTTAATAACAAATGGAAACTTTCTGGAATCCAGAAGATCCATTACAATTCTCTAATAAAAATCATAGGAGGGTTTGGGACAAGTTCAGGAAAGTTGATTTGGCCAAATAGTCTGACGACAACCCCTGAAGGCGATTTGGCGGTGAAAGACAGTGGCACTGGGAATATCCAGATCTTCACCATTGATGGTCGCCCTAAACAACGTTTTTCATATGGATTTGAACCAATAAAAGGGCTCGGAGATATCACGTGCATGAAAAATGGCGTGTTACTTGTGACAAATGGAACTAAGATCATTCAGCTCTTCTCTAAGGATGGAGATCTGATCCACGAACTGAAATCTCCCAAAGTCACCTGGCCTTATTCATATGGGATAACAGTCCTGAAGTCCAACAAAATTGCAGTGTCTGACTGGACCAATGGAGGAAAAATCAACATCATTGGAGTGGACTGGAGAATGAATGCCATCCTGAAGACAAACTCAATAGAGGGATTCCACAGGCCGGTGCGTATGGCAGTCAATGAGGTATGACCAGATTCCCAGAAAGGCAAAAAGTTTGCTCACACATCTATAGATGGATTGGTAACAGAGAAGGTGTTAACATCCTTAGCATAAATGTATACAGTATAGCAAAGCAAGTAATAACTACAAGTATTTGGAGACTCAGAGGCAGTATTTCTATCCAATATGCTTGTGTTCTCCTGACATCCTTATTTAAATCTGTTGTGAGAACTTCCCAGCTGGTTTTGATCCTAACCAGTTCTATTTGCAATATTTGGTGTGTCACTGTACTAGATGACTTTCAATGGATTCCAGTGGCAAAGCTACTGAAAAGAACAGTCTACTTTCTAAATGCTATAGCATCTTGTCCACACTTGGATCTGTCTCAGGAGGTAGGACATACATGTTGTTTTTTAAGAGTTGTGTAAACTTACTGTAGTTAACCAATGTAGTTCTTTATTTCTCATCATCTACTCAGAATGAAGATATGCTAGTTACAGAAGGTCAACTGTTTGGAAGATTTCAGGGCTGCTGCATCAAAGTTATCGACAGGGAACAAAGCCTGAAAAAGACCATAGGTCCCCATCATGGGAAAAAATTCAGTTTTGAAAACCCTTCTGGAGTCTGTGTAGATTGTCATGGAAACATCTTAGTTACTGATGAAGGTCAAAACTGCATTGTGATGTTTAATCCTGATTCAACCCTCTGTGATGTTGTGGTGAATGAGGGCTTGCAAGGACCAAGTGGTATCTCCATGCTGGAACATGGGCTGATGGCTGTAGCTGACTGTTATCACCACTGTGTTAAAATCTTTAGGTACAAGTAAAAACATCACCCTCTTTCTGCAACAATGAAATAAATATGAACAAACACAGCAGAACATACACTGGCATATTCCCATCCATTAGGAATGATGGGAGGGGGTCCCAGTCTAGATGACAAATGAAGAGGATTGTTTGGAGGCTCTTCCCACCTTGCAGTCATAGACTCCTGGGAAACTAGCCCCTTCCCCAGAATGAGTAAGGAAAGAAAAAAAGGCATTATTTCTTACCTCTCAGAGCTTGATCTCTAAGTTGTACTAAAGGTATAATGGATCTGTTGGCTGCAATTTGGTAGCCTCGTAGAAAAAACCCAAAGTATCACTGATCTGTGGGTTTTATTTGCAACAACTTTGAATTCACCAGCTTGTACAGGTGGAGAGCCGCTGGTGTCATCGTTTTCTATTTATAACCTATCTTTCTGGTCACATTCTCTACCCCTCCCCCCCATAAATCCATTAAGGATCATGGGATGGAATATTTTGATTGTAAGGTTAGCTGACCTCTATCTGGAAGTAGCATTGCTCTTAGGGTGGACCTTAAAAATCTTGTCACTAACTTTTACAAGAGGTTGGAAAACAAAATCCCCTAAAATCTCCAAGAGCCACCTGAGTGGCTGTGCAATGTAGATCAGTACCTCAGTACTGCAGGATAGTTTGTGTTCTCCCATGCCATTTTATTTCAAAAGAACATCTCCTTTTCTCCTGGAATCTGTTTTGCATCCCATTAAACAAAACCTAGGAGTGTGTATGTTGTCACTAATAAGATGAAGAACAGCCAGGTACGAAAAAATCAGGAGTCTGGTAGCACCTTTTCTAACTAACACAATTTATTAAAAGCTGTCAGCTTTCATGAGCTGGGGCTCACTTCATCAGACGCAGGGAGTAGTCAACTGATGTAGGACTTAAAAAGGAAAAGAGGAGAAAGAAAGAGTGAAGACAGGGTGGTTATGCAGATGCAGCTTCTATATGAGACCGGTTACAAGTTATTGATAATTAGCAATTGTAATATATTTGTTAGCAGTTGTAATATATTTGTTAAGGTCTTCTGAGAAAGCCTGACACCTTTTGATGTACAGTTTGTGAATTTGGTGATTTCTTGCTCTACAATATTGGCGTACTTTCATTCTCCAGGGAAGTCTGGGAAAGCAGGAAAGCCGAAGTAGGCCAAGAATTGATTTGCCCTTGCGGGAAAGTAGAACATTTGGTCATACTCTTTTACAATGTTCTTGCTATAATTATGTTACCCCTCTCAGTATGGGAACTTTTCGGTAATTTTAGTTTTTTTATTTTTGAGGTCTGTCTGAGGGTTTTGCAGAAAATTCTAACCAATATGGTGAGTCTGTTCCAAAAACATTGGCAGTTACTAGAACATACATTTGAAGATAAAAGTATATTCTTGGGCATATAGTTATTTTAACCCTGTGAGTCTGAGTACATTCTATTCCGATTCCTAAAAAATTATGTATATGTGCACATAATTTTCTCCCAAACTCATAAAACAAATTTGCTTTTTATAAAACAAAGAAACAGATGGTACAGAAGAGCCAGCAATGAATTTCCAACATCTTGATTATTTTGACCCTCAAGATTTGCTATTGAAACTCTGTTTTACAAATTATTGTAATTGTGATGAACCTCGGAATATAAAACTGAAGAAACGGCATATTCTGTTAAAATCAATATGCATTTTAATAAGCATCAGCATGCACTGCTTTTAGAGACAAAGCAAAATTGATATCAAATAGTACAGAACGCTTAATAACTATTTTTACTTTGAAAGATGAAACCATAAATTGGTTGTGGTATGAAGTGGCTTTGTGCATTTTAAATGGTTTTGCAAGCATCGTGAAATTGAAACAAGGAAGTATCTTCCATATTTAACATGGTCCATCCTTGACAATTCTGATGTCCTTGTTGTATCTCCTGTAAGGCAAAGTAGGAAAAGGACAGATCATTAGTCTCTGAAAAGAAATAGATTATAGACAAAAACTAAGAACTTGATCTTGCTGAGGCAGCTGTTTGGGTGATATAATTTTAGACTAGAACTGAAGCAGAATGATCCTAATAAAACTTAGAATGAATTAAACCCCTCTACATTTTAAAACAGTAGAAAACATCTAATTTTTTGTGTGAAAACCTATTTCGTAAAGACAAAAGACCATTAGGCACCCACCTACAATTCTGCTGGATGTGTGGCTTCAGTGACAGTGACTCTTCAGCACCTTACAATTTACTGGCTCCAACAGAAGTGAATATGTATAGTTCAAGGTTGAACTGTGGAGTCCTTGGGGTTCTCTGAGCTTGGTTGTTTTCTTGCAAACGTTTCATTGCCCGCACTGAAGATGTTACCTAGCT